GAAAGAATACCTCAAAAATGGAGGTAGCGATCCTATGTTGCTGGGTGCAACAATCAAGGATAGGAGCAAAGGACTAGTGGCCAAGTTTGGGCCATGGAATTTAATGGAAGGGATCCAAATGGCAAAGTTAGCCAAGGAACACTAATGTGTTTCATGCTAACAGCTTGTGGGGAAAGGAAGTGGACTTCCAAGGATGGATTCCTAAGTGCTCCAATTTGGTGAAGTAAAAGCTCCAAGTGAGGGAGCGGCAAAGTAGCCAAAAGATAGGGCCGTGGACAGCCCTAGCACAAAATATGATAACTGGAACTCAGTGCCCAAAGGTGGCATGAAATCGAACAGAGGATGATGGTGCCCTCAAGTGAAGAACTTCCTAGGATGAGGAAGTGGAGTTGCACAATATGTGCAATGCAAGGTGTCGGAGACACCTAGGAAATTGACTTCAAGAAGTCAGAATTAAAAGTTCCAAAGTGCAACGGTTATAGCGCTGGAAAGTGAGACCACTCGAGAACGAGTAGTGGGATCGAGTTAGAGAAGGTGTCTCTAACAGATTTAATGAGAACTAAACCAATAGAAGGAGAGAACCACCACAAGTGGTTAAATGAGCCTCTAAGTTGGAGAGGCTATGCTCCTTAGATAATGGACAAGGCATGGTGAGCCTTAAGTGTCAAACCATAGACAGATATTGGCTGGGTGCCAAAGATGGAAATGGTAACACATGCGAGTGTTACTTTATGAAAGGGTTTACCGTTCGATGAGGACATCGAACTTCGTCTATGGGTGGTGGAGTTGTGAGACACAAAATCCCTAGGCCCCAAAGTGGAGCCGGAAGGGCGCCACGTGGTAGTGGCCGAAGCGAAAGCCAAACGAGCGCAACACGTTTGGACAAAAAGCTCCGCCTTGAAAGGTCGAGAGCGGGAGTGGAACTCCCAACGAAGTGCTCGAGGAACAAGCACAAAGAGAGCAATAAGTGAGGCTCCAAAAAAGGGACCCAAAAGGACCAACACATGACACGTGGAAGTGTCCGAGATGGACCCAAGTTGGAGTCCGAAGTGGAGTCCGAGAAGGACCCCGAGATGGAGTCCAAGGTGGAGTCCGAGGTGGACCCGAGATGGACCCGAGATGGAGTCCGAGGTGGAGTCCGAGGTGGAGTCCGAGGTGGACCCGAGATGGACCCGAGATGGAGTCCGAGATGGAGTCCGAGATGGACCCGAGATGGAGTCCGAGATGGAGTCCGAGATGGACCCGAGATGGACCCGAGATGGGACCCGAGATGGACCCGAGATGGAGTCCGAGATGGAGTCCGAGAAGGACCCGAGATGGAGTCCGAGGTGGAGTCCGAGATGGAGTCCGAGGTGGACCCGAGATGGAGTCCGAGATGGAGTCTGAGATGGACCCGAGATGGAGTCCGAAGTCGAGACCGGGACCAAGACCGAGACCGGGACCGAGACCAAGACCGAGATCGAGACCGAGACCGAGACCGAGGCCGAGTCCGAGTCCGAATCCGAGTCCGAATCCGAGTCCGAGTCCGAGTCCGAGTCCGAGTCTGAGTCCGAGGCCGAGTCCAAGTTCGAGTCTGAGAGGGTGAAAGCCCAAAGCGTTCGTCTCCCAGACCCTGGGGGGTTTAGTGAACTCCAAAAGTATAGTAGGGGGAGGACTGCAGTGGAGCCAGTTTGGCCAGAAAAGGCCAATTTGGCCCAGGAAGGCCGGACCCAGTGTTGGGTGATGAGCTGCCCACTGGGAAGTCCAAGACTAGAGTGAACACGGACTGACAAGCGGGGTAGCTTGGTGAAGTGTTCAAGAGCCGGCTCTAGTTCCCCCGGGAGATCGACTGGCCGATACTCCCAGTCCAAGTGTGGGTGGCACTACCTACTTGGATACCTGTCGTGGCTCAACGGAACCTCGCTCTAAGCCCATGGCTAGAGCACCTAAAGGCGAAAGGCGGGGAGAGTACCCATGAGGCTTGCGTAAGGCCACGGTGTTCCGAAATGTTGTCCCAAAGTCCCAGACTGTGGAAAGGAAGAGGAGTAGCCCTCTAGTGTGGTGACAAAGGACACGGTCACCCAGTGAGGAAGTCCCAGAGGACAGTTGGACTTAGAGGTCGGGCCTGCAGGCCTTGATCCAGTGGCAGTGTTGGTGAACACAGCCATCGACAGAGAGGGACTTGGTGGGGACCGGAGAAGAGATATTGGGGAAGGTTATTCCCTAAGTCTACGAGCATCCTAAGGATGCTAAGGAATGGATCTGGGATGATCACTCATGGATGGATGGCCTAGTCTATGAGAGACGGGATTGCAATGCAGGTGGTGTTGGACCACTGGTGTGACCAAGGTGAATAGGTATGGCCTCAGCGTAACGGGCCAATATGTCGGTGGTGCCTTGGGGTGTCGATCATGGGATCGAACACGTGGAGCACTTAGACCAAGTGCAAAGGTTGAGTGGCATGGATGCCATTCTCGGGGCTAGCAAGCCCCAAGTCCTAACTAGGACTTATGGAGGTTGTGAACAAGACTCCTCCAAGTGGTCGGAGGTGTGGTTAAGTGACTAAAGTAAAATGGAAAAATTAGTCGCTTACAGCCCCATTAGAGAGTTCCTTCAAAATTGGTTCCTACTGGACCTCACTATCCCTACTATACTTTTGGAACCCCCTGCAGTGCCCCCCCCCCCCCCCCGCCTCCGGGAGATACACGCTTTGGGCTTTCACCCCATAACCTATATTAGTATTTGGACTCGGTCTTAGACTCGATCTCGGACTCAATCTCAGACCCGACCTCGGACTTGGTCTTGAACTCGATCTCAAATCTCAGACTCAGTCTCGAACTCGGTTCTCGAACTCGATCTCAAACTTAGTCTCAAAGTCGGTCTCGGACTCAATCTCAAACTCGATCTTGAACTCGGTCTTAGAGTCAGTCTCGAACTTGATCTCAGACTCAGTCTCATCTGTTGAACTCTTTATCATTTTGGTCGTGCTTTTAGGGATCTTTTAGCCTTCGACACCTCAGGGAGTTGGTTTCTTACAGTTTAAAGGTTATGACACTTTGATAGTGGTTGTGGATCAATTGTTGAAGATTACACACTTCATTCTAATTGTAGAAACAATGAATGCAACCTTTGTCCTAAAAGGAAAGCCTAACCTTTTAAGAAGAAGGACAAATAGAGCACTACTTCACTTAGGTTAAGAGCATCATAATTGGTTTCTCTTTTAAAAATGGGAGTTATTTTTAAGCATGTCTTTGAAGGGCCTCTCTAGCACCCCTTAAGCCTATACTCACTCCTGCCCAAGGCTACCAACCCTCAATCCTAACCTCAACACATTCCAAAAGCACCATTGAAGAGTTCTTTCAAGACTAGGTTTTTAGCTTTGCTCACCTTACTATACTTTTGGAACCCCCTATAACCCTTGATCTGTATTAGTATTCGGACTCATTCCCTTAGCCTGTGACATCTCAAGGGGTTTATTCCTTACAACTCTACCATTTATAGAAGAAGTTCAATACCCATATCAATCAAACTTAATTAATCTTATGACTTGTTGACCATAGCCCCAGGGGCATCACCACATTTAGCAATGCACCTAAATCACCCTTTCTAGCTAGAAGCCCATGACAACAAAATATAAATGCCTTTATACCTCTCACCTCACCTCACTCTAGATACTAGGGAGTTAAGACTCAAACCTAGCCTCCACAGAATATGTTTACAAATTCAACATCCCCTCATGGGAGTTGGGTGTTAATTTTCTAATATTGCTTGGATAGTGTGAGTTATTAATTTGAGGGACATCCATGTTTTTAAGCCACCTGTAAAGCAATGAGGACTTTTGCAATGAGTATATCTTGAATATTTCATTTTATCTTATATAATCTCAATCTATGCTTCTCAAAATAGAAGAATGCTCATCCAGGTATAGGATTCAAACCTAGTAATCGTTCTAGTTATTTGTGTGTGACAAGAAAGTGAACTTCAGAATTGATGATGTCACACTTAGGTATTTACAAAGTGAAAATTCTAGGGCATGTCTATGCTTCCTAGACAGGTACAAGTGGACTAAGTTGCTGTAGCAGCTGCAAGGGGCTAGCTAAAGGCTGGCAGAACTAAATCTATCTATAGCTAGCATGTGTAGATGTCAAGAAAATTTGGCAAGATCACATAGTTAATGTGGGTCAAAAGGTTACCTCAAAGGTATGGACTTATCATTTGGAACGGGTGAACACTGGACACTGTCCAATCCACCGTCCAATCTCATGGTTGGGTGAGGAGATGTAATATATTTTATGTAAAGCTAAAGTTCTTTATCGTTGTGCTGAGTTATAACATTCACCCTTGTTTCCCAGTTGTAATTTCCAGTTTAAAACACTCAGACACTCAGTCAATTAAAGATTTATTTGGTTGTTATTTTAACCATTGTGCATTTTATCAGAGCTTAATAGAGTAATGCCAGCACCGACTGAAGGATATTAACCAGTGCACTCAGCACAAGGAAAATGCAACTGTTTGGAGTAACAAGGATAATCACACTCTGCAGAAGCTTGATAGTTGTGGTGAGGCTCACAATAACAGTTAGATCAACTTTGATGAACTTGATTGGAGTCCACACAGGAATGGCATTGCCCAGATACTTGCAGATGATGCCAATGATAATTGGGCAAGGGAAGCCACCAGGGATGTAGATCACAATGATCTCAAGGATGATAATCACTGGATAAAGGATGACACATAGCAAAGGAACTTTGAGGACGAGGTCCTTTAGACTGGCTATAAGTTCAGTGACTAGTGTAAGTACTTTGTCAACTACATCCAGTGGGACACCAATGTCTGATGCTGATGAAGTTTCATTTGTGGGAAGTACCTCCTTTAGAGACCTCATAGTGCCTTGCAAAAACGATTTAAGAGTTAACAAACAGAACTTTAGACCAAGTTATGGCATACCAGAGAGGTCTCCACTAACATCAGCTGAAACATGAAGAACACTCGCAAGGAGGAGGCATGCAAGTGGGACAATAAACACAATGTTTGATTTTGCCATTTCTTCGATTTAATCTGCTTGGATAGTGTGAGTTATCAATCTGAGGGACATTCATGCCTTTAAATACTCTACAAATCACACCAAACTTTTGGGCCACCCATAAGCAGGACTTTCGTGACGAGTATATCTGTGATTTTATCTCAAGCTCCAAAAGTCCGCTTCGTCAATCCAATCATATGGCGCCCTCTCCACCACGAGAAAGTCTCCTCGAATATCCTTGGCCAGCCGAATATGCTCGTCCAGGTATACGGATTCAAACCTAACAGATCGCTGCAATTATTTGTACTGGTAAAATCTGTAGAAACTTACCAGCCTTTACCGAAGGGAGGGACTGGGAAACTCCAGGTATCACTTCGAAGAAGCGCGCCAGTAAACCTTTTGCCGGAAAAAACATATCAAAGGAAATCACCACTGGAGTATATCTTAACTGGAATTCCACTCTCTTGTCCGAGACAACCTCCATCGTGGACGCCACCACGAACGCTCCAGAGGGTGGAAATGTGATGACATTGTTTAATCGATTCTCGCCCACATCGATCACCTGCATAGAACAAGAGCCTAGATTTCATTCCTGTGGTCTTTATTCTTCTTTCACCTGGAGAATGTCGCCAGCGCGAGTGCCAAATAGAGGCGCCTTGTCCACGATGAAGAGCTGCTCCTTCTCGGTCGTCCACAGCATCCTCCACGTCCCTGAGAGGCGCGAATCGGTGGTGATTCCATCCGAGCTCGCCGACTCGGCAGCAAGCGCCTCGAATGCGCGAAGAATCCTCTCTTTTCTCCTCTTGTCCTTCTGGCTTCTCAGCCCTCTCTCATCGTCGGAGATGAGCCCTAGCAGTTCATCCCTCGCGGCGATGGAAGCTCGGCATTGGTGTTTGCTCGATCTGGCAGCAGCAGCAGCGTAGCAAGTGGGAAAGATCGTGGCTGGGGTGGAAATATTTCCTAGTGACACCATAGCCGCGAGGGTTATTAATTCTATCTCGAAATACTTTGATAGAGAATGAGAGATGATGGCTATGGCGACGCTGCGGTACCAGAGGGATTCATCTCTATGTGGATTTCATTTCACAGATTTATTTGCTTTGATAGTGTTTGTGGCTTTGCGCAACGCGTGGCGTGCGCCTGCTTTCATTCCTTCCATATGGCTTCAAGTGTTTTGCATTGTAGTAGACACTGTTCGCCTTTGTGCCTGGGTCGTGATCTGTAGCGCAATTAGCCGGTGGTCTTCTTTTGTGACAAAGTCCGAGAGCTCGATATCCTGACGACTTTGCAGGTGTACTCGTCGTAATCCAGATCCATGATGAGTGCTTGGGTATAGCGCAACGCTATTGCGCGCGGAACAAAAAGGCTACTTGTCAATCTATCTGGTGCTCGTCTCGTCTAACGCCGTGTTGTGCCTTCGGTGATGCTCTGTAAGGTACTCGAACATTGAAGTCAACCATGGCATTTTCAACTAGCCTAGCTGTCCTGCAAGCATTGTGAATAGTGGGTGGAAAGTAGCAACACCAGCCGTAGTTTCTTCGCAGCTGCGGGTTTTGGGGCTGCGGGATCAGCACAGGGTCGGCAGCGGCGAGTCTGATGAGTCTTTACGGAGCCACACAGGAATGGCATTGCCCAGATACTTGCAGATGACGCCAATGATAATTGGGCAAGGGAAGCCACCAGGGATGTAGATCACAATGATCTCAAGGATGATAATCACTGGATAAAGGATGACACATAGTAAAGGAACTTTGAGAACGAGGTCCTTCAGACTGGCTATAACTTGAGTGATTATTGCAAGTACTTTGTCAACCACATCCAGTGGGACACCAATGTCTGATGCTGATGAAGTCCCATTTGTGGGAAGTACCTCCTTTAGAGACCTCATAGTGCCTTGCAAACAAATTTACATGGACAAAGAGTCAAACGAAACTTTAGACCAAGTTATATATACTATACCAGAGAGGTCTCCACTAACATCACTGTCTAATGCTGAAACATGAACAACACTCGCAAGGAGGAGGCAAGCAAGTGGGAGAACGAATGCTATGCTTGATTTTGCCATTTTTTTCGATTTAATTTTCTAATGTTGCTTGGATAATGTAAGATTGAAGTACATGCTAGCTTCATTGTATTGATGCATAGGTGGAGTTGGAAATGGTTGATGTCGCTCTTGTTGTTAGGAATTCCCATGCAAAAATGAGAGCTGGCTGTGGAGAAAGGATGGAGAGTTTCCTTTCAACAACATGCAGATGGTGGAAGAAGAGATTGGTGCTAGATAGTAGTGTGGATGAAGTTCTTTTCCTCGCTACATAGCTGTGTGTAAACTCTTGAATTTGGACTTCCTGGGAAGTCACCCAACCCAGTACTATTCAAACCCAAGGATGCTTAACTCCAAATATCCCAAGACTATTAACCAATTGGAAAAGGGGGTGCACTTTTATTCATGGGCCCTTTCTTTCTATATTTGAACTCTATGGATCGTCTCTCGAATCATTCCTTTTGGTTGCTTACAATCAATGCACCACACTTCCCTGCAAGTTCACTCTAAGCAACCAAAGGAAACGACTTGAAAGACGATTCATAGGGGTTCAAATATAGAGGGAAAGGGCCCATGAACAAGAGTGCACCCCCTTTTCCAATTCGTTAAGGGTCTTGGGATATTTTGGGGTTAAGTGTCTTTGGGTTTGAATAGTATTGGGCTGGGTGACCTCCCGGGAAGTCCAAATTCAAGGAGCTTACATTTGGTATCGGAGCGGTCTCAGGTCCAACTCTGTTGATTGGCTAGGGGAATCACACCACATGTTGATTGACATCTGGCTGGTCCAGTTTGCTCCCGCTGGGCTCGACCCGAGGGGTAGGGTGTCAAGAGAGCGGGGCTCTCGGGAGAGCTGCGGCTCTCTCAGCTTTCGTTCACGAGGGCGTGAACTTGTAGGGAAGCGTGGTGGATTGTAAGCAACCAAAGGGAACAACTTAAAAAACGATCCATAGGGGTTCAAATATAGAGGGAAAGGTCCCATGAACAAGAGTGCACCCCCTTTTCCAATTGGTTAAGGGTCTTGGGATATTTTGGGGTTAAGCGTCCTTGGGTTTGAATAGTACTGGGCTGGGTGACCTCCCGGGAAGTCCAAATTCAAAGAGCTTACATTCACGCCCTTGTGAACGAAAGCTGAGAGCCATAGCTCTCTCGAGAGCCTTGCTCCCTTGATACCCTACCCTTTGGGTCAAACCCAGCCGGAGTATACTGGACCCTTACCAGATGTCAATCAACATGTCGTGTGATTCCTTTAGCTAACTAACAGAATTGGACTCGAAACCTCTCTGATACCAAATGTAAGCTCCTGAATTTGGATTTCTTTGGAGGTCACCCAACCCAGTATTATTCAAACTCAAGAACACTTAACCCGTATCTCAAGACCCTTAACCAATTGAAAAAGGGGGTGCATTCTTATTCATGAGCCCTTTCCCTTTATATTTGAACCACATGGATCATCTTTTGAGTTGTTCCCTTTAGTTGTTTATACTGTGGTGCTTCATGAGAAATGGATGGCCATCATTTTAAATTTTGATGTGAGGGATAATTTTTTGAGCAAGGAATAGGTTGCCACTTTCTAGCTTGAAGCTATTTTAGTAGAGCAATTGTGCTGGGTTATGTGAGTAGAAGAGTTCAAGCAAATGGTATATAAATTTCCTAAAACAAATAAGGAGTGAACCTTAAACCAACCTCCTAACCCTTAAGGCAATACAGCCTTCATGAAGTATCCTCCATGCTTTGTGTCATTCTCCCCTCCCTCATGACCCAATCATAGATAGCAGCCTCAAAAAGCTAAGCAAGCCTTACATAAAAGGAGTCTAAGGCAATATGGCCATAAAGAAAAGATGTGCAAATGGCAACATTAACATCGTGACAAACAACCACAAAAGAAAGAAAGCAATATAGCTTTCTCACATGACAATATGCTCATGAAAACAAAAAAATGAGAATAGAACAATAACTCAAATCATATAGCAATACAGCTATAGATATTAATTCTCCCCTTCCTTAGGTATGTCATCCAAGTTATAACTAAAACTCAAAAACACAATTTCCCATGTAACTTTGTCTATGGAATAACCATTCTATTAAATAAACAACTCCCTAGTTATCTTCTTATATGTTTTCAACAATCCTTGAGCAAGAATATTGGCCAAACCAGCCTTCTTAGCATCAATATCTAGGAGTTGGATGATGGGTTGATCCATGATATCACTAGAGTGCAAACACACTTTAAGCTTGCTCATATAGAATATTGAATGAATCTTCAAATTAACAAGTTTTGTAAATAAGTTCTCCCACATACTGTAAAATTGTCTAAGGCCCACAATACAACTTAGCACTATCACCTCCTTTTAGAAACCATTATGCATTCGATAGTTTAAGGAAAACTTTGTCACCGACTTTATACTCTTGATGATAATGATGTTCATCAACCAATCTTTTGTCTTGATCTTGAGCTTGCTTCATGTTTAGCTTTGCCAACTCAAGCCTATCTTGCATATCCTCTAAGAAATCACAAGCATGAGGCATCCGAACCAAAGCCAAAATCAAAGCTCATATATGCAAGAGGATGTTTAACTTGAAGCAATATGGCCCCAATAGCAATGTCACTCATATATATCCCAACCATAAGAGGCTTAGCATTTGTTCACCTTTGCAAAACAATCCTTACACTAATGTCTAACCTTGTGGTAATGAAAACAATTGCCCTCCGCTTTGTCCTTCTCTCGCTAGTCTAAATGAAGGTTTTAAGCCTCATTATCATCTCCACTCTTCGAGCCAAGATATAGCAATGGTTGTTTCTTCCCTGAATATGAAATATTGGCTAGCTAGTCATAACATTGACTACCCTATAAACCATTATGTTGACCATAGTTGACTGAGTTGACTGATGGTTTTGGCAAAAAGATCTGAGCTTTAATGATAGCATTAGTCAACATTGCTAAACAATCCTTCTTGATCTTTTGCTACACATCCACTAAGCTTAATCCTTTGATGACACATTACACCTTTAGTAGCTCATTATAGGTGCTTATGAAAGATCACAGAACATGTGGGCATACACATCTAAAGACAAAGTTTCCTGCCTTCTCTAGTTGTTGATTCACAAAATCAATCTCTTCAAACTTCTTGACAAATGAAGTGTGAAAAACCTTTGTCAAATCACTCTAAGAAGTCATCTTAAGATTAGCTTTTATGTAGTTCTTCCACTACAAAGAAGCATAGCCTGTAAACTTCATCACAAAAAAATCAATCTTCATATTATTTTTACAAGAGTTGTGAGACCAACAACTTTCTTACAATTCCAACCTAGCTATCATAAACATCTAGTGATGATTTCCATTCCACAATACCATAATCTTTGGCATGGTTGATGTACCAATGGTAATCACAGTCATGAATTGATTCAACCTTTAAGGGTCCATGTGAAGCAGGAAATCTTTAATGAGATTGATGGAATTTTAACCTCCTTAATATCGCTCTTAACCTAAAAAATTTGGTGTCGTTGCCATATAATGACATCATCAAGAGATTCTTCCACCTCATCATAGCTATATCATTTAATGCCATACTTCTCATTAGGATCTATATCAATGTGTGCCACCAGAAAATCCAAGTCAATTAAAAATTCTAGAATCTTGATCATCAAACTTGGAATTGATATGAACTACAAACATATTCACTACTTCAATACTAATGAAACAAACAAGGAGCAAACCCTAGGCCAAACTCCCAACCCTTAAGGTGTTATTGTAGCGCACCTTATTTAGGGGTAGGAATATACCTTGCTCAAGGGTATATTATACTTTTAAGTAACCATTAATCAATGGAAATCGAACCTGTGCCATTTTCTCTTATACCAACTGTAGTGCACCTTATCTCTCTCCCCTTAAGCCAACTGGAAAAAGGGGCAATTGCTTGATGAGAGAGCCCTTAGTGGCTATTTTATCCCCATTTATCCCCCAAGGTTCCAAGGATCCACGATGACAGTATATTCAAATATCAT